CTACAACACATTTTTATGAGGTTACAATATAATAAAAGTAGGGACAAGAAAATCACATAGTAAACCAACTCATGCATTTCAAGCATTTGTCTCTATCACCAAACTGTGAACTAACACACTTCTCATCCAACCCATGATTAAGGAAGATAACAACTGTATACATTACATAACACAATGCTTACTTAACTATATAGTTTAATTAATTTCCTAGTTCATAACTGAACTCACCCAATGCTGTTCATTTACAACTATGTCCAGCTGTGTACTAGTTAGGAAATATGTTTTAAATTTTATTAAATTTGTAAAATAAATTTTGGTTTTATAAAATGTCAATTAGTTTTTGTTTTTTTTTAAATTTAAAATTTAAACTTCAATTCACACACTTTTTAGTAGGGATGACAAATAGACATGTCCTCCTCGTTTAAACTCGTCATGCAAAAGCTAAAAAAAAACAAGACAGTATGTAACAGACATAATAGAGAATGAGAGTCTAAACTCTTGATCCACCTCACATTAAAATTGAAACAAAATAGAGATATTCAACGGGTGGACCCGTTTTGTCACCATTAATTTTTAGTGTAACAATTTTGTTATTAAACTTACAGAGATATTTATTTTATTTTCAGTCATCAATATCATATGATATTGAATAAAAACAAAAGTGTCATGACATTTATCAACCCTTCTTCTGTTTCAAAATAATTGATTATTTTTATGAAACATTATCACTATATGAGTAACTCCTTTTTGTGTAAATTGATTTATTGAATAAATTATTTTGAGACCTATTTAGGTGCATAAGGGAAGATCGTGTGGTTTTATCAAATGATACATAATAATTATCGTGTAATTTTCTTTTCTTACTTCTTTTCAAGCATTAAATGAAATCAAGTTTTTGGCCTTAAAATGAAGTTTAAGTTGAAAAATAGTGATTTCAAGTTTTTGTACCATATATTTTATACTACACGTATCAATTTTGTGTAAATTGATTTGTTGAGTAAATTATTTTAGGACTTATTTAGGTGTATAAGAGAAGATTGTGTGGCTATATCAAATGATCCATAATAATGATCATGTAACTTTTTTTCTTCTTCTTCTTTTCAAACATTAAAATGAATTCAAGTTTTTGGCCTTGAAATAAACTTTAGTTGAAAAATAGTGATTTTAAGTTTTATAGAATAAAAAAGAAAACATAAACCAAATCTTATTTTTGTTTTACAATGATATTAGTATCAAGAAAAATAATTACATTTAATGCATATTCAGGAGGGTCTCTTTGTGTTGACTTGGTTAGTCCAGCTCGATGCGGTTTTTTAATTGGATCAACACATTATTTTGAGTTTCTTATTCCTATTTCTTTTAAGGATGAAGAGACACATGTTGGCTATTCTCCTCATCATGTTGGTGATTCAAGTTTGGTTGAGTGGTTTTCTGGTTCCTTTTCTCCTTTGGTTCTAATGAATTTGAGTAAGCAATTTTTGTTGGATCAAAAAGGTGATATGGTTGAGGCGATAGTCTCCTATCAACCAGGCGGTTTCAGTTACTCGTTTCTCTTTTTCTGAGTGTGGGCATGTCTTTAAAGTTTCATCTTTAGACTCTATTCCTTGGAAGATTTCTGCAAAGGAAATTGAGACGTTCTCAAGTGGTCTTCTCTCTACTGAAGGTAATTTCTGAAGAATGCTAGGGAAGCTCCCCCAAGTGCTTGTTGTGGGAAGGAGGGTCATGGCACTTCTTGCAAGTCAGAGGATGAGTTCAAATAAGCATGTCCACTTTCTAAATGTTTTTTTTTGCATAATGATGTGATGTATGCTAGTGATCCAGTTACAGGTACGAGAAACATGGTAGAAGTGGAACAGACTCAGTCATCTTTTGTTTCGTTTTGTCCAATGATTCAATTTTGTGACTTGTCTTAGTCTATTAGAGACCATAAGCGATTTGAATGTTCTTTAGGATGATGTTCGTGTCTAAAGAAATATAAAAGGTTGGTTTCTCCTTTAATCAGGAATATTTTTTTGAGATTTGAAAGTTGGTTTAGTTATAAGAGATAGATGTTTTGGCAAAAAGGGTTAAGGAGGAAGAATGGGTACAACGATCATTGGTTCCATGAATGTTAAAAGGCTAAGGGGTAATGCAAAAAAAAAAAGGAAGATGCATGAGTTTGCCAATAAGCTTAATTTGGATTTTGTTGCTATTTAAAAGGTTAAACTTAAGAAAGTGAAGGCACTTTTGTGTAGTTCTCAGTGGGGTAATCTAGTTAGTGACTATAGCTTTTCTCAAGCAGTGGGCTCAAGGGGGGGGGGGGGGGTTGCTTTCTATTTGGTGCAGTCTTCTCGTTCGTTGGGCCAGGCTATCTCGGGGTTTGCCTTGAGTGTGTGTGTGTGTATGGGGGGGGGGGTTGAATTTTTTGCCCCATGTTTTGTCGTGAATGTTTATGCCAAGTGTTCTTTGGGGGATAAAAGGGTGATGACGTGGGACCATTTGGTGCGGAGGTGTGAGTAGTTTCCTAGTGATGCTTGGCATGTCTTGGGAAATTTCAATGAGGTTCTTTTTTCGGGCGAGAGAAAGGGAGTGGGTGTGGGGACTCAGGATTCAGCCTTGGTGGACTTACCCTTGTAAGGTAGGAGGTTTACTTGGTATTACATGGGGTTGCTATAAGTAGGTTGGATCACATACTTTTGCTTGTTGGTGGAAGGAGATGTGGGGTAAAGGGAGGCTTTTTGCCCTAACCGGTGATGTTTATGATCACTGTCTGATTGTGGTCAAGTATCTCTCAACTTTGGGGCCCTAAGCCCTTTAAGTTTAACAACTTCTGTTCGTGTGCTCTGAGCTTCGATTCGTTGGTTCATCATTGTTGGATGATGTGCATCCTTAGGGATAAGTTAAAAGCTATTAAAAACTCACTTAAGGTTTGAAACAACGAGGTGTTTGGTAAGTTGGACTTTAAGATTAAAGCTTGTTTGAGTATGCTTTTAAGCGGAGTTGGAAGATAGATCGTTGGTTTACTACGAGTTATAAGAGCTTATTCGAAATCGTAATTCATAAATGTTTCAAAGATCAAAAAAGGTGTAACTTAAAGAGAGAGGATGTCAATACATAGTACTTCCATACATGTGTTAAGTAAAAAAGTTATAAGAATAGTGTGATTAATCTTCGTATTGGGGAACAATATGTGAATAAGGTGTCAAGGGTTAAATGAGAGGTTATTAAATTCTTTAAAGAACACTTTACACATATTTTACAAATTCTAAACCTATTATTTATGGGATTATCATTCCCTATCTCTTGTGATTGAGGTGGGTTTTAGACATACTATTTAAATATTTACTAATTTTACATAAATATCGAATATAAAATGCCCTTATTAAAAAAAATTCACTCATTTTACACTACCAAAAACATATTTGATATTTATTCTCTTTTATACTATAACTTGTTGAATGAATAAAAAAGTATGACGCAAAACTACTAAAATTGATCCATATTTTTTCTTGTAAAGGACATTGACATCTCGTCAAATCCATTGGTTGGCACTCTCTCGTCGTGACTTGCAATTAGGCGCTGTGGACATTTGGAGTAAACAAAGCAGCCAAGTGAAATGCTTAACTAGTACACAACCATATCACTCCCTTAGAAATTCATATAATATTTGGAAAACAGTTATAACTAAATTTAAATCGTTTGATTATCAAACGATCATCAATATTCTAAATGTGTGAGTATGTGATCACCACCATTGCAGAAAAACATATCCAATTATTTTAATATGATTAAATTAATGGAATAGAAGGTTACATTACATGACAATGAGGGAAGTTCCCTCTCCCCAACTACATGTTGTAATGTCAATGAGTGATTTTTTTTCTTCTTGTATGATACTAAGTATTATTATTATTTGTTGTTATGTATTCTGACACCTCACGCAATGTATGTGTCCACATGCTTTGCTTACCAGCATTCCCAAAAAAACGTGCACATAACTAACTTTAGATAAGTGCCTATTGCAAGTCACTTTAAAGTCTTCCCTCTCTCTCTTTCTCTCTCTACATTGCTTAATTAATTTCATTTAGTCTCTCACTCAATATATTACTAGTAGAGATGTTGTTTCTCTCATCCTTCATTATGTGAGTTACATAAATAAAGCTGAATTTTGTAACTAGAAATAAAGTACATATTGGTGATGGGTCCAATCCGTTGTATGTATAACTTGTAATAGAATGTTTTGTGACTTCAAAGTTATAACTATCTTTCTTGGGAGCATCAACTTTCTATGGGAAGTGGCGTCTAATATAAACCAAATTTAACACTAGATTTTAATATATATCTAATAAATATTAATAAAACATAATATTAGTTTTCCATTAATAAAAAGAGTGGGAATGAGGTGGCCAATGTGTGTGAGAGAGACTTGAAAGAAAGATATTTTTTAGCTTTATTATTATAAAATCAAAAGCACACAAAAAGAACCTAATCCATACACACAACTTTAGGTTGTGATTGTGGCTACAATACTGCCAAACCCTAGCTCCATCTCCATGACACTACACTAACTCCAACTAGACTCATTTACCTAAATATACTCACCTCTTTCCTCTTAATTGAGTTTGCACATCACTTTCCATTTTTTATCTAAAAAAATAGTTCTAAAAGAAATTAATTTTTATATATATATAAAAAGAAAGAAATAAAGATGCTCTATCACTCACTTTTCGTGAATGAAAGGTAAACACCACAAACACTAACCACTTACTTACTCAAAGTATACCAACTTGAACCTCAAAGTATACCAACTTGAACAATTTTGAAGATCATATATATTAAAAATATAAAATAATAATAAAACCAAAGAATAATCCAAAGAATATTGGATAATGAATAATTGTAAATTAAAATATTTCTATAATAATTCAAATTGATAAATCATTAATAGAAAATAAAATACAATAAAATAAAATAGAATTAAATTAAAATAAAACTTTTCTTTCAATTAATTCCACCAATTTCTAATAATGACAATCCACCAAAGCCGGAGCAGCGGACATCACCATAGATTTTTGTGTCGGAAACTGAAACTTTGCTTCCCGGATATCCTCCTCCGGTGCCGGAAGGTTAAGATCCAATTGTAAAATATTCCGTGACCGAACTCCACCGTCGACGACCGCAACAGCACCACCGTTTGCCGGAGATGTCCGATGTCTCCTCATATGTCCACCCAATGCTTGCCCTGATGTGAATTCTGATCCGCAAATGGAACACTCATGAATCTTTGCTTTGTTTCCATTAATAGCTTTCAAACTTGGATTCTCCATTTGAAAAGAAATAGTTGGTCCACGGGGCTTCTCAGCTACTACTTCAAACTCATCACAGTTCGCAGTCAGTAATTTAACCGACTGCAAATCTTGTGATGAAGTTTGTGGTTGTGACAAAGGCGACAGCGGTGGTTTTTTCATATCAGCCATAAGTTTAGGCTTTTTGTGACTTGCCCTGTGACCGCCCAAAGCTTGAAAAGAAGGAAAAGTTCTGTTACATGTTTTGCATTCATAAATATACAAACCACCTTTTGTGTTACTCAAAGTGGCAGTTACAATCTCATCAATTTTTTTATTTCCATTACTACCCTTTTCTCTTTTGTAATCACCACCACCGCCATGATTTCCTCCTTGAGCAAGAAGAATCAAACAATTAGCCATATCTTCTTCATCGTCCTCAACATCAGTATTGCTCTCACCACTCGAACAGCTCGATGCAGTAGAAACAACACCGCAAGGAGATAAAAGTCTTAACCTCTTTGTGCGTTTTCCTTTGACAACATGAGTTGCATCTTTGTTAGAATAACTAATCAATTTTTCCTCCATAACAAACTCTTCCATTTTAAGTTAAACTCAGAGAGAAACACTCAAAGCAAGAGCAGTTATAACGAGAGAAAGAAGTAACAAAAAAAATAAGTGTGTGAGTGAACAAGTTTTGTGTGGGTGGGTATATATATATTTGGGAGAGAGTGAGAATAGAGAGAGAAAAAGAGAGAGAGAGGAGTTCGAAGCCGTCCTTATATTTTTGTTATAACAGCTAATCTGTCACACAAAATCTTCCTTGCGTTTCCAACCTTGGAAGTGTTACTAACAAGAAAAGTTTTCTTTCGTTATCTCACGCGCCTTTCATTACAGTTTTTTCTACGCTTTCATCATAACCACACTTTTAAGCTCTCTTTCTGTTTCACTTCTACTTCCACTAGCTAGCTACTAACCATTTTTCTGTTTTGCCTTTATTATTATATTATTATATAAAATAATAATATTAGTATTAACTGATCGATCAGGTATGGCTTTTATGAAACGAATATGTTATTATTTTATTTATTGTAAAAGGAATAAGATAAGGATAAATCGTGAAGTTTTTAATTTATAAAAGGAATAAGATAACGATAAATGATAAATCATAAAATTCTTTTAGGAGGAAAATTTTTGTTTTAAAATAAATGTCATTTTTATTTTTTAATATAATAATAATAATTATTTTTTCAATTGTGTCATATAATTATTATTCTGTATACTATTTTCAACACATTAAAAAGATTAATTTAGTAAAAGTGCAATATTTTATGTCAATATCATTGAATTTTTTAATCTTTGTGCAAAAATCTTAAATGACAGTCATTTTAAAACGTAGGAAGTATAATTTAGACAAAAATATACTCAGGATTATTTCATTGAGTTACTACCTTAATGAATATGTTTGTGCCTATTTATTTTTCAGTTGAGTTACTACCTTGCCATTGAATAGAAAAGCAATCACATAAAAAATTAAATTAAGTGATCAAGATTAAAGTGACCGAGTGGAGTGATGATTGATGAAGAAAATGGATAACAGTACTTGTACTAAAATTCCAGATATCTAAACAAGTGAGGTTTGAGACCAACTAATTACATTGTTTACTTATTTATTTTTCTAAGCATATCCATGCATCACTAATATCTAGAATTTGCATTTTATCTATTTTAATTAGTTCATCTGATAAACACACATAGAGACAATTATTTGTGAAAACTCTGCGGCCTTGTATACCACCCTTGCACAATAATTGATATCCCTTGTTAACCAATTTAAACCTTAGCCTTTCTTTCTGTGACATTACCAATAATATAAGCCTTTGAATCGAAAGATAAAATATTTCCACCCTCCTTGGAGTTAGGTAGATAGATTTCATTTTTAGTATATACTAATCACTAAGTTTGAGGTTGCTCTTGAAAGTTAGCAACATGTAAGTTTGGGGTTGAGGGTACTATAGAAATTGGCCAAAGAAATGGTCAAAGAAAAACAAAAAGATGTCAAAAACATGACATTTCTAAAAAAAATGAGAAAAGAATAAGACCAAAAATTTAAAATAATAATTTTCTAGTACCCAATATGAAAGAAAGAGTGATATGAATAAAAGAAGATAATTGAAGGACAAAAGGTACTTAAATCCAAGGTTTAAGCCTATTATCTCAAAATTATCCTACCTTGACATAAGTCATGTAACAACCTTAAAAGTTCTCAAATGTGTGTGTTTAAATATGATCTGACCGATTTTACAAATAACTTACAAATTCATTGATTTTTTTTACTCTTGTATGTTGATTGAGTGAACACCCTTGCAATTGAGTGCATAATGATGACTATAGAGATAGGTTAGGTAGTGGTGCTAGAAGGACTAATCTTAATTAGTTAAAGCAAAGCAGGGAACAAACGTCTCAACCAGTAAAAGCAATTGACATTCGTGTGGTGAGGATTGTAATTTATTTTTGACAAAGTTTCATTGTGCAAACAGGTTACTTAAAGACAAGCAACAATTCAAAGTTATGGTTGTAATGACGAGCTATAAGTGCATGTCATTTAGCGAGAAAAATCGACTAAGTCTGATAAGAATGGAGCAAGTTAGAGGCAAAAGAGTGAAAAAAGCTTGAAAAAGTACTTTTGGGCAACGAAAAGCACTTATTGAGAAAACTGATAAAAAAAGGAACAAAACAAGCTGATATGCCTTTGGAAATAACGCATCGTCACTGAGCTATAGTGCATCTGCATTGAGATCAAAATTGTGCAATGTGCCTGCATTGAATGCCAGAGCCAGCGCCCCTGCATTACAACTTTTTACTGACACGTTTTTTTGAGTGCTTTATAAGAAAAAATGGGAGAATAAAAATGGTTCGACTGCCAAGATAGAAAAGTGAAGTTTAAGAGCGACTTTGTAGCTTTTGGAGGCCATGAAGCCATTGGAGACCTATTTCTTTGTGATTTTTCATGTTCTTCGAATTTACACTTATTGGATTGAATTATTTCAACTTGAGTATCTAGATTCATCTTAGGTTAGATCTTATTTGACGATGAACATGTTTTTACTTGATTGGGACATATGAACAGATGATGTTAATGTAATTGTTCTGACTCGTTGTTATTATTCAATTATTGTTATGACATTTAAATTTAATCATTAAATAAGGCCTACAGGTTCATACTAGTGTTTTAATTAGTTATTATTAGAACATTCAAATTTAATCATTAAATAATCCCTGTGGTGACAAATTTATTCTTATTACTTTGATAACAACACTAGTACACTTGCTAGTAAATTTTCTATCACAAAACTCTTAAAGATGTTTTCAATCCTGAGTCAATTGATTGGGACCTTAAGCCAATCAATTGGAAGAAGCAAAATCCATTATATAATCGATTATAGCATTGTCTTAATGATTGGTAAGGACTCTCTATCGAAAATTTCCAAAATGGGCAAGCCCAGTGGGAAGTGTGGAAGTTGACGTGGGATATTTCATGGCGGAAGGGAATCATGTAGATAAGGAGAACTTTGACAAAAATGTAGCTAAAATAGTACCTTGCACTTCAACCAGTTTTGCTTGTATGCCTCTAGAAGAGGCGTTTTATTCTCTCAGGCTACACCCCACCCATGGATTCATGTGGGATAGGGAAATCATGGGTGAACAAAGTTATGACATCATCCGATCAACTGGTTGGAGTGACGAGTTCGACTATGATGTTTGAATTTGACACGTTAAAGCAAATTTTAGATCATGTAGCTGAGAACTGACTGGAAATGGCCTTAGAGTCTAAAATACCACACATTGTTGTACTCCAAAATTTGACCAACCCCTTTTCTTGTGTTTTGGCTTGTGTTTCATTGCATTTTAGCATCTTGCATTTTCATATCATAGTTCTTACAGGGGATCAAGTGATTGTTTGTGTGCTATCCAAGAGGAGAATCTTATTGACTTCAAACTCAATCAAAGGCATTGGTAGAGGTCATCAAGTGTGTGTTATCATCATGAAGTTGTCCAAGCTCTTTGAGAGGAGAGGTGTGCCATGACTCATTGCTTGAGGATCATCAGGGGATTGGTCAAGAGTTCATAAGGTCCTATATTTGGTGCAAGCATGGTGTAGAGGTTTGTTGGATATCTCAGAGGCTATTGTGGAGTAAGAATGGTCATTCAATTCATCTGCAAAGGGCCTAGGCAGAAGAGCATGAAATTAGGGTTTCACATGTAATCAGGATAGACTTGTATTTGAAGCAAAAAATTTTTACATGGTCATTCATGTGTCCCAAGGTGTTTGGAGGTAGAAGATTGATCATCAATTTCAATCAGAAGAGCTCCAATTAGTCAGTCAAGTGCAAATCAAGATATTTGGGGGGAAAGTCAACTGTGCAGTAAAAAAGTCAACTCCTGACTTTTTAAGGTCAAGATCATGTTCCTCAAGTTCAATGTAACCAATGGATGGGATTTGATCAAGAAAAATCAAGGGAATCATGAAAAATCAAGAAATGTTGAAACTTACCATTTTGGGGGAAATTAGGGTTTTATAACCTTTCCATTTATGAAAAGTCTCATGTGTGAATCAACCACTTTCCAAGCCATTTTTATTCATGATCAAGGTTTCAAATGAACTTGGTTCCAACATCAAACTTGTTCCTCATATTCCAAGCTTTCTTTTGAGTACCAATTCATCATCATATGATGTTTGAAGCTCAAGTTATAATGGTTCAATGTTAGGGTTTTCAATGATCTCAAAACTAGCAAGTTTAGGCAGATTTTTGGACCAACTTTCCAAGGAAATTTTCATCAAGTTCTTGTTGTCAAATGGACTCTGGTCCTAAATGAAAGTTGTAGATCTTGTTCCAAGCTTTCCATCCATTACTAGAAGTCTTTCATAGGATTCTTGAAGCTCAAGTTATAGATGTTCAAAGTTAGGGTTTTCAAATGTTTCAATGTTCATAACTTAGAATTCTTCTAAGTTATTTATAGGCAGCTTGCATGGCATGATTTTCAACATCACTTTACATAGTCTTCTAAGATGCAAATGAAGATGGGCCCAACACCAAAATTGTTCCATGCCATGCACTCTTTGATTAGAGCTCAAGTTCTAGCCAAAATGATCCTTGTACACCAAAATACCATTGCTCAAAGTTGATGATTTGAACATTTTCACAAGGCATGATATTTGGTTCATTTTGGCATGTTTTGCAATTAGTCATGCAGCATACTTGCCTTGCTCTTTTCATGCGCATAGAGTGGCATTTCGTGCACAAGAAACATTGCCCAAACAAGACAAACCAAAGCATGTACCACTTGTATACCATTTTGAATCTCTTGCCCAAAAAAGGAAGAGACAAGTTGCCTCTATTCTGAATTCATGCAGTTCATCCAACTTGTTCCCTCCATTCAAACAAAACCAACAGAATGCAAGCATGCTCGTGTCCTTGCTCTATCATCCACCATTAATTCAAAAATCCCAAGATATATAACATCTGCTCCCTCCAATTTTTACCACTGTAAAACCTTCATTTTCATGTTTTTCACCTCATATATAAGCTTAACATAAACCC